TTAATGTCAGCTATCTTGAGTTTGGAGGATGGCACATCTAATGATAAGTCAGTCATGTTTTCACTTCTTTAGTGAAAGGGACCCATTCTCAGATGATAAAACATAAAGGTATGATCCTTCATATGTTATGTTTGAAGGTGCAGACACTAATTAAAATTTGCCTGCACATGCATAAAGGTGATTAGGCAATATCCATCTCAGCCACTGGATTCAAGGTGGCAGGGCAACTTCTCAGCCTTCACAAATCAGCCTGCTCCTATTTAAGTAGTTTTAATGGGCAAATTCTGAGTTCACAAAGATACTTTGGTTTGTTGTTGTGTTTGCTCCTGCAAGCATTATTGTATTCAAATATGTGCATGTCCTTTTTAGACACAATTTCATTTATGTACAAGCAACAGTAATACCTCCGTAAACCAGTAGAGGGAAACTTTACATCTCTTCATACTGATGATGAATCTTGTTCACGTCTCAGCTTTCATTAACAAAACAGTGCGTGATCAAAACGCCAGAGCATGTGACAACGCATACAAGGAGAATTACCTGAAAGGTTTTTGATTTAAAAAAAAAAAGGAAATATATAAATTCAAGCTCTTGCATTTAAAACCAAGGAGCTGGTGGTAGACTTCAGCACACACAAACATCCTCCACTGCAACCATTAAACAGTCAAGTTATGGATATTGAGGCTGTGGACAGCTACCTTGGTGTTTACCTGAACAATAAACTGGACTGGACTCATAACTCAGACGCCCTCTACAGGAAAGGGCAGAGCAGGCTGTACCTGCTGCGGAGACTCAGGTCTTTTGGAGTGAAGGGCCCACTCCTGCAGACCTTCTATGACTCTGTGGTGGCCTTGGCCATCTTTTTTGGTGTGGTCTGCTGGGGCAGAAGCATCTCTGCTGAGGACAGGAAGAGACTGAACAGCTGATCCGGAGGGTCAGCTCTGTTCTTGGATGCCCTCTGGACCCAGAGGAGGTGGTGAATGACAGGAGAATGGTGGCTAAGCTGTCATCACTGTTGAACAGCATCTGCAACCCTATGCAGGAGTCTCTGACAGCACTAAGCAGCTCCTTCAGTGGCAGGCTGCGGCACCCACGGTGTGGGACGGAGAGATTTCGAAGGTCTTTCCTCCCCTCTGCTGTCAGGCTCTCACAAAACTTCGCAACTGACCAAACACACACATCCACAAATGTGCAACACTAAGTGCAGTACTCTTTTTCTGACAACGTTGTTATTTTCTACTCAGTTGTATATAGTATTTGTATTCTATTTTATTCTATTGTATACAGTATAATATTTTATTTTATTCTATTCTATTGTGTACATTTGTGTACGGTATCTTTTTCTTATTCTTATCCTATTCCAGTGTTTTTCAAATTTTTGCTATCTAACTTTGCACTGTCCACTTTGTGCTGTAACAAAACAAATAATAAAGGTCATCTTATCTTATCTTAATTTAGTTAAAGGCTTTAAATCATTACTGTTTGTATTCATGGCAGCAGCAAACACAAAACTAGTGTAAAAATAAGGACCAGTTTTAACTTGATAGTTAAAAAAGTGAAGTGGCCTTCACCTACTTCCCTTAGTTTTGTTCAGATGGTTTTGTTTTTTGTATTTTAGAGTTTCCAATAAGATGCTTCTAAATATTGGCATGAATAAAATATTTATATTCATCACATTTTATTTTTTTGACCTACAGAAGTGTGTGAAAAGCACTTCTAAATTCTTTAATATTTGCTGGAAAAACTGGAAATAAAGGCAGCATAAAAAGCAAAATAGAGATTGCAACATTCTAACATCAGTGCATACATTTAAGTTGTATAACCACCTTAAATCTTCAACCCAGCCTGAAGTCATATTTCTGCACAGGGTTGTTGTTGTTGTTGTTTGGAGTCTTTAACACTCCCTGAGTCCAGGAGAAGCTGAGCAGAGGCTCCTCTCCACGCCTCAGCCTGACCACCTGTTTCTCATCAGCCTCATTTACAACCTGCATTTAAGGTCCCACTTGAGCTTGAGCAAATCTGCCAGATTGTCTGCTTCCTTAGTAGAAGCAGATATACACATTAAATGCACATTACAAACACACTGTTAAAGTGTAGGTGTAAAAAAAAATTAGAAATGTAGTAACAATGTAGTAAAATAATTATAAAATGACATCTAGCTCAGTTCAACTTTTAGAAAACAAAGGAATAAATAATACATTTTTGTGTAAGTTTGCCAAAAACTGTAAAAAAAGATCTGTGAATAAAACTGAGGAATTTTTAACTCTTGTTTTTTAACAAGATGATGACAGTACAACTAGCAAAATTATCAACAATTGCTAAGTAAACCAGGAATCATGTCTTCTTTATGCAATATCAAATGCAATAGTTACGTATCTGATTGTGATAAAGCGGAGTGGTCATTGCTGTTGTAGCTTAAGTAGTAGTAGCAGCTTAAGAAAATTGATCTTTGTCATCGTTTAGTGTGTTAACACAGTCAGCAACAGCTTCCAACAGCATCCTGTTAACGATCAACTTCTGAGGAGGATGTGTAAAAACTTTGACCAAGAGTAGCATTATTATGTGCATCACACTTCTTTCTCTGAAACTGAAAAAAGCAGTTGTCTCTTTGCTTCGTCTTTGAATTAACAAGAACTGGACATTGGACAGTATTGGACCCAGGATTTAGAATTCTTAGTTTGTATTCTTCAGGTTAGGATTTTATTTATATTTTCTTATCATAGTCGAGGTCTCTAGTCTTACTTATTGTTTATTTGAAATCTAATTAGGAAAATGGAGATACACAACAGTAAATAAGAACTGTAATCCAGGATGTGATAAAAGTGGTGATAAAGTTCTAAAGAAGTGAGCTTTGATAAAAAGTTGAATCTCCAAGTCGAATTTTTGAGACAAATTAAATATTTTACCGAGGTTCTTTTGGGGGGTCTAAGCTGATGGTTAATGGCATTAAAAACCAGGATTTCAGCTTTAAGGGTGACATCATTATGTGAAAGCCAAGTTTCAGCCTCAGGGCCTTATAGAAGAGGACCAGTTTGTCAGATATGGAACCGATTTAGAGCAGCGCTCGGATGCCAAAGCATTGCTCAAGACATAAATTATTATTTTAAGGTCCACTATATCAAATGTATCAATTCATACAAGCAGAGCTGAAAAGTACAGGCTCTTTGCTGTGACACAATTTAAACAGCAGCTGGTGGAAAATGTGTTGTGGTTAAGTTTAAAAAAAAAACGTTGACCTTTTCCTGCTCGGTTTTTGGTTTTGTTGTTCTACTTTTTGGTAGGTGGAGGGTTATACAAGTACAATTTTAAACGCAACGCCTTTAAAAACCAATAGAGGGAAACCTCACACCTACCCATATGTATACCGAATCAGTCATAATCGTATTACGTAATAAGGTATTACTGAATTTTTATTGTTAGTTGTGCACTGTATTTGAAATGTTCACTGACATTTGTTATCCACTGGCACCAGTTCCAGTTGAGCCACAGAAAGCTTTCACTTGACGTCATAATTAATTCAAATTCAGCTGCAAGTAATAATTATAGTGAGTTTGTTGTCATGATCCTGAGTCGTTGGCCCAGCGATTTGAGTTTATTCTAGTTTCATGAGTCTTTCCTTGCATAAGGAAGACGATTTAAGTTTGTTTTGTACAGTTTAGTTCCTTTATTGAGTTTATTTGTATTTCTAGTTTCTTTTTTGTTAGGTTCCTTTTGTACCTTTGACTCGTTCCTGTGTCTCCTCTGAGAGTTAGTCGTGCCCTTTGTATTTATCTGTTTCCTTAGTCTTGTCTGTGTCTCCTCCCTCTGCTCCCTGTTTTTAGTCAGTCTGGGTCTCAGTGTGGGTTTCTCGTGTCTTCCTGTTTTGTTTTGATAGTCACGTGTCCTGTGTCCATCACGTTCAGTTGTTTGCTGTCTCGCCAGTTAGATCATGTCCAGCCCTGTTTCCCAGGTGTTTCCCCTCTGCACTTATTTCCTTTGTATAAATTGTCTGCATTTCCTTCTGTTTCTTGTCGTGATTTCTCTTATCCTCCACGTCTGTGTGCGTGCCATCTGCTTAATATATCTCAGTTTAGTTTCCTCATGAGTTCCTTGGTTAGCATATTTGGTAATTCAGCAAAAAAGCTACATTTCAGTTTAGTTTTGCCTGTGAGTCTACATTTGGGTTCTCAACTCTGGCTGCTTCACACAGTTACATGACAGTTGTATTTATAAGACATTTTGTTTTTGATAGCATAGAATAGTCATTCTCAAAGCCAAATAACACAACACAAAGCATGACCTCAAAATATATGCAGTGATTATACTTGATACAGTATCTGTTGCATGTTTCAAAGAAGTGCGAAGGACACACCTTAAACCACTCATCACCTTAAACCCATCTGCAGCTTGTTTTTTCCTGTCTACTTTCCTGTTAGCAATCAGTTGTAGATAAGTGAATGGATGAACTCAAAAAGACATCACATGTAATTTTAAAAATATTAGTTGAAATTTGAAAAATTTTCTCTTCATTCTTTTATTTACTTTATTTAAAGGCCACTGTGCTGACATGAAGTGTTGCAGCAATCAAAAAACTGGAATCTCAGCACTTCAGATTTTTGACATATTTTCTGCAGTTCCGTGTTCTGAGATTCCATGTTAAGTTTTGCCATACAAGGAGTGATTTTCATTGTAAACAGTTACTACAGTTTGAAGGAAGTGAAACATGTCAACATACAAACCACAGGCATGCCTGCAGCATCTTCCACAAAATCTCATTTTGATCTGTTATTTCTTTTGATTTTATCCTGCCCCATTTGCCTACAGTCACATACAGTCCTGTCAGTTATAACAGTTTTAGCTTTTAAACTATTAATTTTTTTATCACATTTTTATTCAGTGAAAGAAACATATGAGTTAAATGACAAATTTAAAAAAAACTTTAAGAAATCAAAAGGTTTAATATACCTTTTATTATATTTCTAGCTAATGCTATACATAAAGAAAAATTACATTTAAATTTTGATTTTTTTATTTATTTTTTTTACTTTAGTGTTGCATAATCAGGCTTCAGACAGGCTTTAGAAATGAACATTTTAATCATCTACATACATTTTTTGGATCAATTTCCATTCTATTTTATTTATTTATTGCACCAAATCACAATTACAGTTGCTTCAATGTGCAATATATTGTACAGTAAAGACCCTACAAAAACCCTTACAGACAAAACCCCAACAAGTCTTTTTCAGTATGTACAAGTATAAAATGAAAATATCACAGTCACCTCCTGATTTCTTTTTGAGGTCAGCTCAGTCATCTTGTTGCTTAAAGTACAGGAGCACGTGAACCTGTAAAAATATAGAAAAGATACAGCAGAACAAACACTTTTTAACTTCCCCATCCAATTATGTTATTCAGTGAATGATGCAGTTGCTTATTGAGCATTGTTGATCATTAGACAGCATGTTACCTTGTTTACGATGGTTAATTTCTCTACACGCAAAACAGCATGACACTGCTATCAGGAGAAATGCCAGTACACAACAGGCTATGACCAGGCTATGACACTTGTCTGCTGAGGGAAGATCACAGTGATAACAATTAAGTGTTCAACGTAAATGTCACTGTATTTGCAACATAGAAGATCCCAACATGAAACAAGTCAGTTTGTTATGAGGCTGAGGTATCAGATTACAGATATAAAAACATAATGAATCCTAGACATTTTTCTTAGCTACCATTATGCAGTTTGGATCATGGCTGAATACTTCATTAATTGATCTTGATACATGTATCAAGAACCCGAGGTTATGTTTCTTCCAAGATCTTTACTTCTTGACAGTTCCAGATTCACATTTGTTCTTATCTTTTATTCCTTTTCATTTGTTCAGTGAAACACTTAGTTAAGAAAAGTGTTATGTAGTTAAAGTTTATTGCTCTGACTGTGATTATTTGCTAACTCCCACTAAACCACACCAGAGGTATAGTGTTAGACACTGAAGAAAAACCACACCGACAATTTCTGTTGAACCACCTGTTTCCTGTCATAGAACCACACCTACTACAACACATCCATTTCACAGCTTAATGTGCTCATATAGTGCAGCTAATAATAATCAGTGACCAAGTGGAAAGTTTTAGTGTGCCTTTTAAGTTTAGGTGGTAGTTACTGAGAAATAAAAAGATAAATAAATCGTGAATATGAACAGCTGCCCTTGTGTGGCTGAAATAACTGAAAATACCAACAGATACAAAGATGTTGTATCAACAAATATTCTGTTCATTCTCCTCAAGAAATTGAAAACTTTAAACATGATACATTTTCATGTCTCTGCATTTTCTTTATTTCATCTTCTATAATTAGTTGCACAAGTGATGTGTACTGTGTTTTGCAGTTCTATTCTCACATGCTTACATTTCTGCTTAACTTTATAATAATATCAAAACTATAAAATTATGAGTAAGTTACCTTCCAGGTTCCAGAGTCCCTTGCCTTCAAAGTTTCCATTGCCTTTAACATCCAGGGTGAAATTAATGTTTTTCTCTTGGACTCCATTTGAATTAAAGACCTCAATCCTGTATTGACCTGAGTCACTCCTCCTCACGTTTGTGATCTTGATTGTCCCGTTGTTGATTATAAATGTTAGTCTGTTGTTAAATTCCTTGTCTGTTGTTGTTGTTTTTCCTTTCTTCATATTGAACACAGTTTTTGTCTCAGTGGGAAGCACCTTCGAACACTGCAGTTGATAGCCATTAGCATCAGTCATCACTTGGATATATACAGTTCCTTGAAGAAGAGGAGAGCACGGACATGTGTTCGTCCTGAGGTCACAAGTAGTCTCATCAACTGGAACCAGAGCTGGAAAAGATGCATTCAAAAGAACATGAGTTGAAATTATTCACACTACAAATGTATGTTTGGCTTCTTTGTGAGAATGTTCTTACCATGAGTTCCCGCTGCCAATAGCGCAAGAATAAGAAACTGCTCCATGCTTTTCATTCACCCACGCTATGGTTTTAATGTTTTAAAATGAATCTAGAAAATTTTGGACACATCCGGGTGTAAATCTGCTGTGAACCTCAGCCCTAACTGACAGGAAACAGTAAACGGGAGATGATATAGGCAGGGTATTTTCACAGGGGCAGGAAATAAAGTGATTCACTTTGCTTGCCAACACAAAGAGAACTGAGACAGGCTGCTGTACTGAACTGAACTTAAGAAATATTTACCACATATGAACAAATATGTTCTCCTCTCTGTTGTAATTGCATGTGAAAACTTGAATCTAAACAACACTGGGAACTGCAGTCACACTTTCAGAACAGTCAGCCACACGTGGTACGTTGGTTACCACAGATAGTGTGAGAAAGAGCAAACCAAAACTAAAGTGACAAATTAAGTCACCGATAGTCCAGAAGCTTCTGTGAAGAGAACTTTATTGTTTAACAGTCTTTACAGGGTGTGCAGGAGAGATGTCTTTTTCTGTTTGTAGGTTTGCATAAGTTTGCTTTCCAAAAAGGAAGAGAAATGAAAGATATAGAACAAATAAAATGCAGACAACCTGGTTAAAAGCACCACGCGAAAAGGATGCAAATCTTTGCCACAATATGAAACTGTGAGGCAATGTTCTCCAGAAAATATTAAAACACAGAATCCTCTTATCCAACAAAGGAGGCTGAATTCAATATGAAAAATCATGATTTTTTGACTCACAAGTATTTGGGTAAAGAAAACAAATTCAAATGATACAGAGTTTTATGTGAATAAGTTTGTAATAGCACAATAAACTTTTTAATAAACTGTTTAATGTTACTATGTTCATAGTGACTATTTATATTTACTTTTAAACATTGCAGCTCTGCACAGGTGGAAGCAAGCTTTACAATTCTTCACTTACTCTTAATTAAGGTTAGTAAGCAAGAGGAGTGATGGAGAACAGAATAAGAAGAATAAAAATGATCATTAGAAAAGAAGAATGTACATTGCTTACTTACATTTTAATGGACGCACACAACAGGACAGGCTAAGGCAGTAACACACATATAATCACTCAACTGGAACTGAGAAAACCCATCTGTGTGAAAAAATAAAAGAACCTACATCGGTAGTTCCTGTATTACAGCAGAGATGGAAGCTACCACTCTTATAGGGGTGCAGTAAACCTGTGCGAATAGTACAGGGCTTTTAAACACACTGAAGCTACTTTGACTTTTGTTTTGCATGCTTCCTCCTACCCTGCTCTAAAAATAGAAGAAACAGCTATGTCTGTACATGCATGTCCACCAGCATATATGTGCCCGGCTGGGCATCTCATCAGTTTTTATTCTGGCACAATGAGGCAAACAAGCCTGTTTTTTAAAACATATTGCTATGTTGCTTTGTACTGGTTTTTGCTAAAGTCCTTGCAATCGTTCAAGCTCATCGTGAATAGCTGTGACAAATGAAGAAGGAAGCCCTCTTCTAATATTCAGTGGAACAGGTAGCTGCTATAAAAAGTACAGAACAGCACAAAAAGAATCTGATGTGTACAGAAACAAAGAATATTCTTCCGGTAGAAAATATGTAAATACAATAATCCAGAGGCTAATTTAATGAAGGAAATAATGTCTACAATTAATGTCACATTGCCACAGAGGTAGTCATCATTTACATTAATCAAAGCTAGAAAGCTTCTGATGATTCCACCTTGTCATTCTTGTCAAGTACACAGATTTTGAGTTTGTAAAACAACCCTTACCTGTGCAACAGTAAACACACTAGCACCTGTAAAATGGAATTCGCTCATGTGTTTTTGAAGCTTATAATGTTCACTTTTGCAAAACAAACACTTGTAATTGAGATACAAACAAATTAATAATGAAAACATCACCAATCGGTTATTCTTACAGAAATCGAACATGCACCTGCAGCTACAGCTCGATCTTGCAGAAACCTGGCCCATGAGTGAGAACACATCTTCAGATGTTCTCTCAACTAAAGTAGCACCTCTTCATTAAACCAGTGATTTTCTTTTGGTTGTGTTCTCCTATACTATGTTAGACATGATCCGAGTTTTTAGTTTCCCGAAAAATGACCTGCTTTTGGATAGCTTTAGCTTCTTCTTCCAATCCATGCTTTTTTTCTGGAAAAAACTGCCCCAGTTGTCCTCCTCCTCATCTCCTACCCAAGGGACCCAGGCACCTCCATTCAGATAGGGGTCAGCCCGCGGATCCTCTGATGGGTACCTCACAGGCACTGCAGTGCGATTGTAGTACACCAGTCTGGCAAGCAGCTGCTTCACAACATCCGGTCTCTGCTCAGAAAGGTCATAACGTTCATAGGGGTCCCCGGAGATGTTAAAAAGCCACACTGTTTTTCGAGGACGTGTGTGACGCTCCTGCTTCCACCAGCTACTGGGGAAACCTGGAAGTATTTGTGGTGGAATCCAGTCTCCATAACCAGGGTCTCCTGTCAGAAGTTTCCAATCTCCAGCTCGTATGGAGGCCTGAATGGCTGTATTCCAAATGCCATATCCTTTCTGCAGGGAGCCAGTGTGTGCATGGTTATACAGAGGGTCAATGTTGTGCAGGATTTCCAGCCTAGGTGATTCTTTTCCTTCACTGATGGCCTCCCACACATTATACCCATCAACCCCCTCAGTGAGGGACTCATCACCACCTGCTAATCCCACTAATGTGGGATACCAATCAGTAATGTGCACCAGTGATTTGCTCACCCTCCTCTTTTTCCTTAACAGAGGGCTGTGGACGAATCCCAGACCCCGGATGCCACCTTCCCAGTAGGTTCCTTTACGTCCTCTAAGAGGCCAGTTACTTCCACCAGACAAGGGCTGACCTCCATTGTCTGTAGAGAAAATGATGACACTGTTCTGATAGTATCCATACTTGCGGAGAGCGTATGTTATATTACGAACCGCTTCATCTACAGCTGACACCATAGCAGCATACTTCCTGCGTGCCACATTTTCCAGCCCAAGGTAGGGGTAGATGTACTCATCTGGATATTGTAAGGGTGTGTGAACAGCTTGGAAGGAGAGGAAGATGAACAGCGGTTGGGATTGAGGATCATGGGTTGCCAGGATCTTGCGTACTCTCCTTGTGTACAGATGCGTGGAGTATTTTCCACTCTGACCCCAGGCAACTGACTCCCCCTCATGGAGATCAAAGCCACACAGCCCAGAGCCATCACAGCCATCATAGGTGTAGTAGTTAACACTCCCCGTTAAGGATCCAAAGTATGTGTCAAAGCCACGGCGAGTGGGTAAGCACTCCTTCTTATAGAACCCCAAGTGCCACTTCCCTACCATGTGGGTGGAGTAGCCGAGTTCCTGTAGCCTCTGAGGGAGCGTGACCTGGTCAAAAGGCAGGCAGTTAGGCTGGCGAGGTCGGATGATGGAGTGCTGAAGACCAGTGTGGATTTGGTACCTGCAGAATTTAAGATTAAGAAAATATTTAAAAGGAAAAATATATTGTTTGCATTTAGGGATAAGATTCGTTTTTGAGGTTGCATATCTTTTGGGCGCAATAATAAAGGAGGGAAATCTGATATCAAGACAGCCTTAATCCATATC